AAAAAAAAAAAAAAAAAAAAAAAAAAAAAAAAAAAAAAAAAAGTCGAGCAGGAAGAGACTGGCCTGGGCTATGTAATGATGTCAAGGCCAGCCTGAACAACATGAGGTCCTGTATCAGAAAAAAGAAAAGTCCCCTCTGTGTATTACAAAAACAATAATAAGACTACTCATCCACAAGGAAAGAGGGCATCACCGTCACCTTCTGTCACGAGGTTGAGGTCACTGGAGTGTTTACAGGTGATGATTTTCTCTACCAGCTGGTTGTAACTCAGTTTCCCAACAGCACTCACAGCCTCAGGACTCTGGGGAGAAGGATGGGGTGGGGCAAAAACAAACTGATTTTTTTTTTAAGGAAGGAAATGAACCAAGTCCATTGGACTGTGACTCTTATGATCAAAGATTCCTGAACTTTTGATGTCCAAAGACCTGATCCTATTTGTGTGTGGTTTCCGTGTACTGGGATGTGACTCCACCCAACAGTATTAAAATGCAAGGAACTCTGCATCAGTTCAGGCTCTAAATCTTGTCTCTCCTCAGACTAATCACACCCCTCCCTAGATGCCCCCTGCCTTAAGTTTCCCTTCACCAGCCTGAGCTAGTGGAGAGTCACAGGGCCTCCCGTCCTCACCTGTGGATCAACAAGCCAGCCATGGTACAGAGGTATGCCCAGCAAGTCAAAGATACTGCATTCGGGTGTGTACTCAAAGTCAGAGACGCCTGTGAATCGCACATTGACATCCAGACCTGTGGCCAGTTTAGGGAGTACTGTCATTGCATCATCCACATTCTGGTGGGAGAAAAGAGACGGATAGCTAGTCTTACCTTCCCACTTCTCGTTCCCACCATCCAGACACAAATCAGAAAACCTCTTTTCATCACTGGCTTTCTTGTAACCCATTTATTTCAATCCCCTCTTTTTTTCCCCCAAGACAAGGTCTCACTATATAGCTCTGGCTGTCCTATGTAGACCAGACTGGCCTTGAACTCACAGAGATCTGCCTTCCTCTGCCT